AATTATTTTATTATTTATTTTTTTTTTTTTTTTTTTTTTTTTTTTTTTTTTTGAGTTTTGTTTTGGGCTGGTCAGTGTGCAGCAGTGAACCAGCAGGTGGCGCTGTGACGCGCGGCTCCCTCTCTGTCTCAGTATTGACCTGCAGAATATCAATGCTGCTTCACGGAGGGAATAGATTCATCGAGCAAGCCGCGTGTTCGCCATCGAACCTGGTTCCTTCTGTCGTTCACCATAAACTTCATCATCATCATCATTCTGCACAGATAAAACCAGCAGCAAAAATCCTCACACTTCACCCACTGAGCTCATCCAGTCTGCTCTCTGTGGGGAAACCATTTTATTTTACTCCTTTGACCTTTCTGGTCTGATGTTTTCAATAAATTTGCTTTTTTTTCTTCTTCTTTTCACAGCTGGACATTTTATGCAACGAGGAAATCCTGGGAAAGGACCACACTTTGAAATTTGTTGTTGTGACAAGATGGAGATTTAAGGTAACAAAATCTGGCAGTTTTGAGGAAATAAATATGAATTCCAGCTGACAAGAACACAATGAATTTAAATTTAATCACCTGCAGGTTATGAAATCTTTTTGTAGACTTAATCCTGTTGCTTCTTGTTAAACATTCTAATCAATAATTGGTTTACATCTCCTCTCCTTATTTGTGTTTCCATTGTACACATAACTGCACAGATTGGCATTACGGAAATAAATTTGCTTAATTAAAATGTAACAGTTGTGGAAAAAAACAAAAAAGTCATGTTTTTTGAGAAAACCAGGATGAGGTGTTTCGTTGACAATATCAGAATTTGTGTATTTGGCAAAACTGCAATGGAAACACTTTTTTGCGTTGCCAGAGTCGCATAACAACGGAGTGTTACTACTGGCAGAAAAGATGAAATTGACAACAGGAAATGGGAGGAGGATGATTATGATACGGCATGTTGTTAATAACAAACTTTATTCAGTTGTAATTTGTTTCTTATTCAATTCAAACACCACAAAATTGTGCTTTTTTTTAAGCAAAATATCCACAAAGTTTTGCTCACATTTGTTAACTAATGTTTAGCCTTGTTTATGATTGGCTATTTTCACTTAAAAAGTTTTAGTTTTGTTTAATCTGTTGCTGATTTTGCTTGATTTATAACAGTAAAGCACGCCAGACATCAGTAGATTTTTAAGAGCTACAGCTATGCATTCTGGGTACAGAATAAATGCCATTGGTTGCATCAGGAGTGGAAAGGAAACGGAACTTATGTATAAGTAGTCACTTCAAAATAAGGGCATGAATATGAACGTCTAATTATGGAAAGATGAGTTAACCAAAACTTCAACACAGATGTGTAACTTTTAGTTACAAACCAGATATTTAATTTAATGCCTTATCATTTATCCAGAAAAATGTATTTAGAGGAAGATAGGTGCACTAAATGTCTTCAAAGTTAACAGAAATGCTAAAGTGCTTTACAAAAAAATTAGCTACACTATTAGTGGATGTGGATGTGTGCACACCAGTCGTCAAAAAGATAAGAGAGTCCAGCACTGCAAAAACACAAAATCTTACCAAGTTTTGGTTTCTAGAGCAAATATCTTAGTACTGTTTAAATTAGACAAAGCTAACTTACAAGTGCCTTTTAAGCGAGACATGAGAGCTTGTTTTTAGTAAATAATTATAAGTTCAACTGACAGATTATCTTATTTAAAATGTACTAAGATATTTGCACAAAAGACTAGAAAGTAGATACTTGGTAAAACCTTCAAAATGTTGTTGTCCATTCCAGAAATCTCCGCTCCTGCTCCATTACAGACCGAAGATGGACCTGCTGTAGCTACAATGGACACAATGGTTGTTTTATTTGGATCCTTTTGGTCGGCTCCTTCGCCGCAGACTTTGGTGAAACTTTCTTCTTCTATTTTTTTTTTTATTATTATTTATGCAAAGACGATCAATCAACACCAAGCAAACACCTGACGTCAACAAAAGCCAGCAATTCGACATTTAACGAGAGAAAAACTGGCACAGGACCTGCAACACCGGCGCGGTTTTACAAACTAAAACAACCTTTTTCGTCGTCTGCTACATCCTACATATGTGAACAAAAAGAGAAAAATGGAAAAAAAAGGAGAGAAAAGCATATATTTATACTTTTGTACAGAAAAGACATGAACCAAGACACTACTGGTGCTCTGTTTACACACAAACAAGATGTCTGCAGTCATCTGAACATGTTTTTGAGCTTCATCCTCCTCAGATGATGACTGACGGGAGAGGAAGGTCTTTTTTTATATATAAATAAGAATATACATAAAAAGGCGTCTTTTCACAACACAACATGTTCTGGGAGCACAGAAAGTTTATGGAAAAGTTATATAACATCCATCAATTTTAAGCCGATAAATCAATTTCCTCTGAATTGTTTTTTTTTAATTATTTTATTTCCATTATGTCTGATTTGGATTCCTGATGATTGTCAATTGTGAATAGGCTTTTTTTTTTTTGTGTAGTAATTTATGTTCGATATGCTGATATTGTACATAAAATGTCATTACAGAGAGATTGAAGAGAGACTTTAGACTGTTAAATAGAAAAGAGAGAGTGGATCCCTGAAGTGCTATCTATATGGTGATAAAGACAGACTCGCTATCAGTATCAGATTATATGAAAGCATCTTTATGTTGTCTGACAAGGACACAAAACAGCTTATATCAAATCTGCAACCATTTATGTGTTTGTGGGGTCTGAATATGTGAATTGACTTCAAGGAGGAAAACTGTCCCCAGCTTCGAGCTCATGTTGAGAATAATACGTTTAAGATTTCGTCGTTTAGGCAGATTGAAGCCATTTAAATTTAGTTTTCCTCCCACTAAGCAGTCCTTAATATCCGTCCTCGTGTTCCTGCACTTCTTCTAGCAGCAGAAACTTACGGAGGAGGTTTGGGCCCACTGAATTAAAAAAAAATCATAATTCTGATTTATGATCTCAGAGGATTAAAGTCAGAAATCCGAAGGAAATCTGACGAAAAAGTCAGAATTCTGAGAAAGAAGTCTGGATTATGAGATTAAAGTCCAAAACATGCTAAAAGAAAAGTAAAAAAAAAAATCTAAGAAGATAGTCAAAGTTCTCAGATGTTTGTCTTTTTCTTATCACCCTTTTGACTTTAATCTAGTCTGAAGTCTCATATTAAAGTCAAAATGATGTGATTAAAGTCGGAATTCTGAGACTAAAAACTAAATTCTGAGGAAGGAAATTCAGAATTTTGAACTTAAATTCAGAATTCTGAAGAAAAAAAAAAATAGAATTCTGAAGAAAACAAATTGGAATTCTGAGGAAAAAAAGTCTGATTTTTTTTTTTTTTTTTTTTTCAGTGTCGCTAACTCTCTTCCGTAGAAACTTTCCCTTCATTTCTAACGATTTTTATATTTCTGGACTCATCAGCTCCACTTGCAGCTTTTTGGTGTTTAAATGTGGAGAAAAGGCATTTAAAGTAAAAACATGTCAGGATGGTCGTCTCACTCCCAGCTGGAGAAGCTGCACAGTCTGCAGGTTCATGCCTGAAAAATGTATTTGACATTTCAGTTTTTGATTCTGCCACAAGTATTTTATTTTTTTTTATTGTTTTGCAGGACAGCCAGCATTCTAGAACACAAATTCAGGTTTTAACAGGGCGTTACTTAGAGCATTTTAATATTGAAATTGAGAATAAAATGACCACAGCTGGGTCGTTTGGTGCTTTTTAAATGTGCGTTTGTAAAATTAAGGAGGTTCATTCTGTCACAACATGCTGTTCTGAACTGTGTGATGCAGCAAATCTGCTAAAGCTCTTCTCTTACATCCCCACATCTTAGAAAAGTTTCTTACATTTCTGCTTTTCAAATCTGTTTTTCCCAAGCAAATGCAGAACTGTCACCTTTTCACATTTGAAATTTTTTATTTAGAAGCTTCTTCATGATGTGGAAAAACTGAAACGTTGTTTGAAATCATTCAAGAAGTGAAACTGGTATTTATTTTTCAGAATTACAACTTACAGAAACACAATATTTTCACTTTCTGAATGAATGACTGGTATTTTTATCATTTCAATAATAATCCCACTTACTGACATACACTGTGTCTCCATGGCAACAAACGCAGCTGAAACATCTGCACCATTAAAGCCCTCACAGCATGGCTGCTCATTGTTTTTGGTTTCTGTGAAGCCATTTTATTAGAAACGCATCAATTTCCTTTTATTATTATAGTTATTACTTAAAATATGTTGTAAAACAATATTTAGGAGCTCTGACTGTGAAAAAATAAGGAACTACAGCCCATCTTCTTCTGCCACACTTTTTCCTTCCACTTCACTTTCCATTGACGTTCTTCCAGGTGCATCTCAGTAAATAAGTCTATCTATGTAACTTTAGATTAATTACATCTGTACTGATGTTTTCAAGCCTTTATTTCTGTTAATTATTATCTTTTTTTAATTTACAACTCATGAAAACTCATTTAATTTCTTAAGCTTCTTTAACAATAATTTTCTGTGGCATTTCTTCTGATTTTTTACTAAACACAGAATATAACATCAGAGAACAATCTATCATTTTATTTGTCATAAAGTGAATTTTGATACATTTTTATGAACAGATTTATTTTTAATTGCACAATTTCTGGCGGCTTTTCTAACTATAAAACATAATCAAGAAAAACTAGGACTTAAACATCAAATAATTACCATAAAATGTACAAAATTATGTTTACCGTAATAATTCAGTATTTAAAGGTTCTCTACTTGCCATTTTTCACTTTTTGGCAAATTTGATTAAAATTGAAAACGGCAACAAATTTCACATTTTATGTTTTCTTGTGCGAAACTCGGTTATGAAATTAGGTTTCAGATATTTTTAATCAGAAAAAGTTATTCTTCAAATGGCTTAAAAACCAAAAACAATGAGCCAACAGGATCATTTTTCTTTTCCTTGGTAAAACACTTGACATTAAGTACTTCTAAATCTCTTTAAAGGTCATTTTCCTTCCTGCCTTTAACAGAAACTCTTAAGTTTGCGTCACAGCTGCTTGATTAAATTTTGTTAAACGGTAAAACTCTTCAGTTTGTCATCTTACAGAAAGGTTTGTTTATTCCAGCTTCTCCTCGTCTTTGTTGGTTGAACTTTTTCCGTTTTCTTTAAGGTACATCAGCTCTTCTTCAGGTGGAGAAGCTGTAAAACACCCAACATGGTGCTGCTGTGACTAGAAAACAAGGAAAAACTTCAAAAATACAAAATATTACCAAGAATTTCTTTCTAGTTTCTAGTGCAAATATCTTGGCTAACTTGAAATAAGACAAAATAGCTTACAGTTGATTTTAGCAAGATATAAGAGCTTGTTTTAGGTAAATAATGACTAAATATTGATGTAAAAATTATATGTCCACTGGCAAATTATTTCACCTGTAACAAGACATTTTCCCATGTTTCAAGTGAAATAATCTTCCAGTGCGACTATTTTTATTTTTATTTATTTACTTAAATCAAACTCAGTTTTAGTTTTCTTATTTCAAGTGTACTAAGATATTTGTACGACAGTGTTTGTTGTAGAAAAAAGAAAATCGAGTTTATAGAATTGAACATTTTTGACTGTTGGAAATTTTCTGAGTTTCAAAACTTGAAAGTTCTTGACTTTTGAAGCTCAGAAATTTTTCCAAATTTGTTCTAGAAAATTTCTGATATTAATCTTAAAATTTTAGTTTTTTGTTGGAAAGTTTTTTCTTTTTCTTTCTCTCTCTCTCTATCTATCTCTCTCTCCAGTTGCTGTTGGACATCATCATATATCTGCACTAGAAACTGGACCAAAACTACTTGGGTCAATTTTGTGATTTTGCGGTGAAGATGAACCACAAATGCCTCACTTGCCCATTTATTCCTGCTGTTTCTGCTGTAGTTGAGGGAACTCAGTTTGAGAAGTTAACGGTGGTATAATTATTTCAATGTGGTGCATCTGTAATATTTAAGATTAAACAGCTTTAGGTTATGCAGTAGATTGAAAGATAATTTGTGGACAAATACCGACACTGTCTTTTTGTTCAACCCTGATGGAAAAGGTGGAGTTTTCCCTCAGTGATGGTCAGACTTCATCTCTGGTGCTTTCTATGGTGCTAACATTCCCTCATCTCCAAGTTTTCCTGCACAAATTCAGTCCGCGACGAAGAGGCGCTGTGCGAACCGTCGCCTGTTGGTTTTTGTTTCTGGTGCCGTTTCTTGTCGGTTCTGCCTCTCTGTGCAGATAAAGGTGCTGCTCCCCTCCCTCCTCCCTCTTTATTGATTTGTCTGCTTTGCCCAGCTGCTGCGATTGAAAACCAAGGGAATTTTAAACAAGTTGAGGCCCGATGAGGCGGATTCTTCGAGAACTAAAAGTAAAGTGGTGAGAAATTGGATGTGCTGACACCAATTTCATGGCTCAAATAGAAATCACACTTATGGGATTCTTTGGTGAGACATTTGCGCCTCTCAGTCAGATTGAGACTTACTTGGTTTAAAATCAGCTGGTTCGGTTTTAATATCCCAGACTTTCTGGGGCGCTCTGGGGGAGATCTGAATTATTATTTTTTTTATGGATTCTGCTGCGTAAGATTTTCACTCCCACTGGAACGGATCGATGTTTCGCTCTTTATTGGGACCAACATGAAGACATGCTGCTTGTCAGAGGTTCATGGTAGAGCTAGCTCAGCTGCAGATAAACGTTTCAATAAAAGGTCTTCTATAAGGTTATTATGCTGTCACTTCTGCATTAAACAACATCTCCTCAGTGATTCTGGCTGCAGACTGAACTCTAAAACAGACTCTGCTGTGAAATAAGTCTCCACTTTGAAAGTGTGGAAGGTTTTGTTCAGCTGTGTTGCTGAAAAAATGTAAAAATCAGTTTTCAAACTATGATTTATTATTTTAAAAGTCCTATCTAAAGCTAACTGACTCACTATAAAGCTTTAGTTTCCTCATTAACTGAAAGCATTGCAGTAACTAGCTTACATTTCGTAACTCATTTTATTTAGTCACATTTCAGTTGCTTCGAAGTCCACACTTTGACTAGGACACTCCAACCCCCTTTTTTTATCATTACTATTTTATTTTTTGTTGTTTTTATCAGTCACTCTGATCTGGACTTTCTGGTGTGTCACAGACTGATTGACAGAAATTTTCCTCTACTACACTGCAAAAACTAAAAAAAAGTGTTTTTATATGTTAGTACACTTAAAATGACACAAAATTAACTTACAAATAACTTTTCAGCAAGACACATGAGCTTGTTTTAGGTCAATAATGCACTAATATTTATTAAGAAAAGACAGAATTTTAGGACCATAATAAGAATAAATATAAAAAAAAACAAAATTACAACAGTGAAGTTGAAATAATGAGAATAAAGTCATAATATTTTAAGAGTAATTTAATGTTTCAAGGATAAATTCATAAGAATAAAGTTGTAACACTATCACTTTGTTCTTGCATTATTTTGAATTCTTGTAGTTTTAGTACTTTATTCTCACATTACTTCAACTTTATTGTTGTAATCTTAAAACTTTATTATTGAAATACTGCAATTTAATTTCTTTGTGTGGTTTTAATAAACTATCATAATACTTTATGGTAGTTTGGTTTTTCTACTCAATAAAGGAAATCATAATTTGAAAACTGCATTTTGTATTAACTTTTTTTTTTGTCAGATATTAAAACTGGTTTGATTTTCTGAAATATTTAATTCAAAAACAACAGAGATCTTTGAGATTTGTCATATTTTCACGTCACTACAAATTATTGCTATAAATTCTTGGTAAAGGTGAACTATGCAGCAGTTTTGTTGTTTTTAAATTAAAAATCCTTCCAGATCTGTGGAGGTTTTCTCTAAATTTGATCAGTTTTAAAATGTTTCTGTCTGCTGAAGGAAAAATGTCTAACTTGACATGTTTTGTTTCTTTGCAACTGAATTTTCCTGTAGTGTTTTAATGTTGACTCAATTTTCCCTTTGTGAGCGCAGAGAAAGAAAGAAGATGTGGTTTATTCTATTTGCAAACAAAGTGTGCAATATACCTTTTCCAGACGGTTTCAGCCCCATTGTCTTCTTGTTTTCCTGTTTTTTGTTTAGTTTTTTTGCAGCCAGCTCCTCAGGTCTCTAAATGCCTTCTGGTTCCTCACGTTGATCAGGAAATCTCACACTAATCCACCCAATACACAACATGGATTTGGACTGGATTTTATTTCGCTCTCGTTTCCTTTTCCTCCTGCAGGTTAACTCAGGCACTTATTTGGTGTCCTTGTCCTTGTATTATTTATTGCACATTTTATGATCTGGTTTACACTTAAACACAAGAGGTATCGCAGTTTAGGATTGGGCTGGAATTTCTTACGTACAAACCTACAGAAGCTTTTGTCAAACCATAAATGTGTATTTCATCAATAAATGCCTTTTAAAAGTACAACTGCTGATTTATTTTCTTATTTAATAGTTGTAGGAAATGTCTGCTGAAGGATTTATAATAATATTTTGGGGAGTTTGGACATTTTTTTACTAGTAATAGTGGGGAAAAAAAGTGCCCCAGCTTTAGTTTTGCATTTTCACTCTGGGTCAAAGTTGCATTTGTGACTTTTTCTTTCTCTTGAGTGTAATAAATTGATCTTTTAGGGGTTTTCCTGTATTATAAAAGAAAACGTAATGTAAAACAGATTTTTTTAAATTCAAAACTATTAATCCCAAAGTGAAATTAAATATTGTGATCAATTAAGTATTTTTTAATTGCATTGAAAATTTTGTTTTAAAGAATGTTATTTCATAATGGAGGAAAACAAGACAAAAATATTAAGTTACAAAATAATGAATTATAAGAAAATAAAGGAAAGATGGATATTTGATTTTAAGATGACGTGAAAGGAAAAAATGTTTAGCCCGTTTATATAGAAGTATTTTTTTCCCCTTTTGATGGAAAAATGTCTTTTGCAAATTTTAAATGTGACTTATTATGCTTCCTTGAAGCGATAGGATACAAAAAGTGTTCATTACATTTTTTGCGCAAAATCATTCAGATGTACATCTTTGAAAAGCATTAGTAGAGCCTCCTGCATAACCAAAA